AATAAAATAAACCGACTCTCTTCAGCAATGTTAATAGACACAGACGGAAAACTGACGTACAGTTGGTTATAATACAATAAATAACTAATAAATGTACGCCTACGTATGGTGAAACACTAGTTAACGAACCCACACGTTATGCAAAGTTATATGTTGAATGTGTGTCAATTGATGGAAATAAATGTTGATGAACATCTTAACACTACGGTATTAGCATATGTAATGTAATTATGTTTGATTATGTATTCAATTTGTGTTTGTCTGAGATTTTACGTGAAGTAAATCTGTTATATTGTGGAGATGTTTTGAGTGGAGTTCACATAATTGTGTTGCTAGTATAAAATCATATACAGTGTATAAATAGATCTCTAGTTAACTGAATAATTATATTTATTTATTAATAGATTATAAATACGACCATTAATCATAATATTATCAGTACTGTACGTGCTTTAACACAAATACAGTTTTCATTATTTATCTAGAAATAAAATGCAACTATTTTATTTAAATAAATGTGAAATATATACTAAATTAAACTAAACTAAAAAACAAAACAAATCCAATCTTATCCACATTGTGCTGCAGTGCACTTACAATGTAGTTCCAGCATACTTACAGTATTTATCAAGCCCTACAAACATTACAAGCAAGAAACCAAAAGCTGTATTTAAATCCTTAAATCAATAATATACCACGTTATATCGCATTTATAAACATTGTGCAAACATTTAATACGATATATGAACTCGTTATTCAATTAACGCACAGAATTCTGCTAACAAGCTATGCGATTACGGGCTGTGCGGTACGAGAAATGGCGAGAAACGCTGCGATACGCGGTCTGTGCAGGATACGCAGGTTTAACTAGACAGAATTTATCTAAGTACGTGAACGCTGTGCTTCGTTATTTCTGTTTTGTTGAGCTCGATGCGATTACTTTTCGATATCCGGTTCTGTATACATTTTATGAATCGATTGACAATAGGGAATATGCACGTGACACCAAAATGGACAAAATATTTTTATTTGTAATTGTTATTGCTAAAAGAAGATATCCATACAAATATTTTTGAAATTTATTATAATTTAATAGTGAAATTTAATCATCAAAAATTGGCATTTTTAAGATTCCCTCGCAAATTTCTAAAACGCAACGCTATTGGTTGAATAAAACGTGACGTCAACCTACACTGTCAAGAGTGTCAACAAGTTGTGTGTATTTGTAATATTTGGTTTCTGGTGATTATTTGTTTTATTTTAAGTTAATAACTAATACGTTTTCAGTGTTAAATTATTAAATTCCCGTGTAGAAAGACAACACAATGACTGAATATACTTTGTCAGGTGCAGTTTTGATATTATTTTGGCACAAAGGAACGGCACAATATTTATAATAAGTTTTTATTGGCTTTTCCATGGTAATAAGTTAATTTATATCACTCACTTTTTTAACTTTCACAAACTTTGTGAACTTCACTCCGTTGTTGACATCGAATTCGTCTGAAAGTGTAGTCTGACGTCACAAAAAAAGCGCGCCAAAATGGACGTGTTCAAATTGCCCCAAAATGATAGTGATATTAATAATTTTTTTTTTGCTTAACGGTTTATATTTCGGATGTGTTATATTTATTTTTGGTAATGTAATAACGAGTAGAATCGTTTAAAAAAATAAAAAAATACATGCATATTCCCTATTATTGGTGTTTGTTTTAAGTGAAGAATCATATGCCAACTAATATTATAAATACGAAAATGAGTTAATTCTTACGCTTTCACAAGTATCTTTTTGATATGATGACGGATTGGAAAATCCTTTCGGATCTCCGGCTTCTTGGGTATGCAGGAGCCAGGACCATGTGGTTCCAGGTCCCCTCGTAACTAGGCCCTATCTCTAGGGATCACGTAGGTTTCCCGGCGCCTATCACTAAATGTTCAGATCAGATCAGGCCACCATCCTATCGTAATAATTAATCTGTCACCAGAAGTCCCCACTTTCTGTCGGCCCGCAGTCCCTCTTCGCTCAGGATCGTCCTTCTCCGGATCCCGCACAACCTACATAACGTATCATCATGATAAGAGTACAGAAAGGACATAGGACATCTTTCATGTAAGAAATGTACGTTTTCGACTGTCATTTCTTTTTTCCTTGTTTTCTTGATGTTGGATAAACCTAAATGAAATAGGCGTTAAACGTATAAAACTAATACCTTGAAATTTTTGTTTCGGGTTAGAACCGATTAATGTTGTTTGTCAAGTTGTTTTCTTATTGGGAGTTATTTTTTAATCTATAACGTCTTTCATTTCGTTTTCCTTCAATCTGTGGGATGATTTCGTGAAAGGAACGGATATGTGTAACAAAAAGACGGTATTTCATTCGAAAATAAGCAAACGCGATGTAAGTTTCTTTCGTTTTTTTATATACAGTTTCAAGACACACTGTTTTTAGGACTTATAATAATAAATAAACTTATATTAGTTAAAAAAATTACAACAAATGTAAAATTATTAAAACAACCAACAGTTCGAACGTAGAAAATTAAAATAATATAAATTTATTATATCGGTAGTAGTAAATTGTTGAGAAATCAATATTCATTGCAAACTCGTTGCATGGTGCCGATATGATAACGCTCATTCTGATTTATTGCGCGATCTCGCGAATATTATAATGGGTTTTGAAACTGAAGCACATAACGTATTGAACCATTGTTGAGTAATATAGCACTGTAATTACTATTTTAATTTGTTTTATTACTTCTGTTAAGAAAAGTTTTATTTATTTTTAAATGTGTTTCATTAGTCATGGGCTTCTATGTAAAATTAATAACTTTTTACTGTTTTATACAATGTTTTTATTAAGGTAATATTAATATTTATACACACAGCTATTCAACTACTTTTCATTTATTTCTTCTTCTTTCAAACCTTTAAACAGTTAAAGGTATAGCAAATGTAAAACTTGTTTTTATTGAAATGTGCCAAAACATTACTAAATACAAATATTTTTGTGACATCTACAAACACTTCCAGTGTAGGTGGTGTGATTGAAGCATAGCTTACCCATAGTCACAAAGACACATAAAAAAAGTAGATTATTTAGTTTAAACCTCATTAATAGAACATTGTTTTTATAGATGAATAAATTGGATACGGCAAATGTCAACGGTTTAAATGTTCAATTTATCGAAGCTGATTAAGGGTGCAGACACATCAAACCGAACTCTTTACAAATTTACGATTTCATTAACCACTCATTTTACGGACAATCATCATTAGCGTCGTATTGTTAATGCCAATGTCGATTAATTTCCCATTTCCTGAATTCCGAATACTGTAATACCAATTTTTCTCTCTCAATTTGCGAGTTCCATAATCAAATATTTATTCAACAATGTGAAAACTCGGATTAAGTAATTCGTTAATTAAACAAATAAGTGGTTATGTTGGTATATTGTTGTTTAATCAGAGGATTGATTGGCAAATAAAGCGAGAAGACCCATTTTCATGATTAAAATAACTATGTTTGATTCGTTTTAATGATTGGGATGTGTATTAATAATTATATTTTTAAGTGACCATCTTTTGTTTTACAAACGAAAAAAACTTTAGTTATTTCTTTATTCACTATGTATGTATATCTATATAAGTTTATTAAATATAAAGTTGATGTGTTTACGCTTCAATAACTCAAAAAGTTCGGCACCAATTGAGCCTAAATTTTTACACAATATAATTTAATGTATGTATATATACATATATAGTGTATAATTTATGTTACATAAGTATTGTTCTTCATTTCTCATCAATTCAACCACAATTTGGTTGATTTGAGCGAAGCGTGGCAAAGTACATTTAGCTAGTAATAAAAACGTGAAAGTAATTACCCATTGTCTTCCCTCTAAGCTAACTTAATTATGTAGATTTAATACGTAATTTTCCTCCTACACTTTTTATTTCATTAGAGATTTGTGCGTAAATATTTATAATATACACATAATAGACATCTATGTAATAGTTCCGAACTGATGAAGTTGTACTACCCACTGATATTAAAGAAACCTACATTTTTTAGCTTATTATTTTTGGACCTAAATTCTCACCATTCTAAGCGTGTTACTACATTCAGGACTATACACATTTCATCAGTTACAGTATGAACTAAATTCGATAAAGACAAAAAAAACGAATACGTCGTGTATTCGTTTTTATAATCCGCATTTAGAGGATTCACAGAAATTACATGAATTAAAATTCTTCTTGTTTTTAAGAATGTTAATTTTTTAAAGGCTGTTAATAACAGTATACCAAGAAAATTCTGTATGACATGTGTATTCATTTTTTTTTAATTGGAAATTTTCTAGATTTTGTTTTAAGTTTTACATAAATTACTTACGTATCTATTACTACTAAGTATACTTAGATGTATTAAAAGGTCCAAGCATTTATTGGATACTGTATCGGTAGCATTTTTCATTTATTAACAAGCTTTAATTAGCTTGGTATGTATGTATGTATATAACGGAATTTTAGATCGTGCTTTTGACCCACCTCTAAACATTCAATTAAATTAAAATTAAAGGACCGATGACAATACAATAATATAATAAATTTTACCGATTATCCTGATAAAGCTTTCAGGATTAAAGTCTTTTTCCATGCCTAAAAATACGGAAGTGTCTTTTGTTATGTACTAAGAGGCTTGCGCTGAAGCATATGTAACTTATTTAACTGTTACTTTTTTTTTTAAGTAACAAGTAAATAAGTAAAAAAGCGTGGCGTGGTTTATTGATAATAACTTTACTTTTATCAATATCTGTCAATGAAATATTTTTACGATAAAATGATATTTCTTTTTGAGCTTATAGAAAATTATTATCTACTGTTTAGCTCGGCTCGTCACAAAAGCTTCTCTTTAGTTTTTTTAAACTATAATTTATTAAATAACATATAAGGTATATTTTGTCTTGATAATAACAATCTACTTTTTTTTGTTTCAGTTGCCTCAGCCCACGTTCTGCGTATTTCTACGAATTTCCGCCAAGCGGTAAGTATTTTCTGTTATATTAACAGGTGTCAAGATTATTTTAAACGTATAATGTAATAAAAATACTTTAAGAAATGCCACTTTTTGACAATTTTTATTTAGAGATTTTTGATGTTATTAAAAGTTTATTTTTGGAGGCAGGACAAATATTTTACATATTTGTTCCTGATTTTCATTTATTTTTATACTTATTTCGGAACAGTGTTTTATGTTTATTAACCCGCTAATTACTACATTTTTTTCAAACTATTATCGTATATAATACCTGCCCCTTTATTAAAAAAGTATTTTAACGATTCATTAAGGCCTTAAAATATCACAAGGAAATGGAAAACTTGAAACATGGTTAAGGATTAAGTGCCTGATTTATTAACTTTTAATGTACGAGTAAGCTCAATTTGTCGTGACTTTGTTTCAACCCAATTTATCTCTAAAGCTTAAATTGAATAGGTTTTAAATCTGATTAGGCGTTTTTGCTTTACAATGAGATTATTACAACACATACATGCATATGTATGTGCCGAATTATCCCCGAAAAAGTAGGAAGAGACAAAATTGACATCAGATTGGAAGCTACAACTTGGTTTTACTCGCTTTATAGGAGAAATCGAGTAAAACCAATTAAACCATCAATCGAGCACTTTGACTTGAACTAGTTGTGGCTGGGAAGTCGGAACCCTCAAAGGAATAGTGATGAAAATGTATACTATTATGGTTTAAGTACCTACTAAATATTTATGCCAAAACAGACTAGTATTTTAGGCATTCAACAATCATCAACAGTCTTCAACAGTCCACTGTTGGACATATGCCTCTTCATAGAAAGGAGGTTTTGGCCTACTATACCACGCCGACCAGACGGGTTGGTATAGGGTTTATGTCAAGTTTGCCTTCTCTTTGCAGTGCTATTGTCCTGCGTAGTTAGCTCCCTAAGTCGGCTCTTACGACACCTACGGTTTCAGGCGTTTTGTAGTACATACTATACATATATTTGGGCTTTTTAAGCTAGTGTTATGACAAATGTATTACTTACATTAACCTTTTTACACTCTAAATGCTACAGACAGTTTATTAAAGTGTCAACAGAGCACAAACTTTTGATTGCTTCTCTCGTCCATGTTTTTCAGTTTTGCTTCTCTCGTCCATGGAACCCTGTTGTTACTATGCACTGATGTCGAACAGTTGTTCAACAGGTTTTATTAAACTTAAAACAAAAAAAAACCAAATTATTGTCACAGTAAATTGTCGGTTATGGTCTCTCCTTCTACCTAGACTTTCTCCTACATCCAGTTCTTGTTTTTACATAGCTAGCAAATTTTGGTTTGTGGACCAGGCCTTCCGTTGTTAGAAGGCTCGAACTTACTGGGCAAAGCCAGTTTAAGTTAAAGGTATGCAAAATATTTGAGCCATTGTACACACTCTTCGATTTATTTTTCAACATCTATAATATACTTTAAGATAAAATGTGTGTGAGACTAAGTTGTAGTAAACAAAAAGTTGGTTCCGATACGCCGCTGCCTACTCCTATAAAGGTAGAAGCGTGACTGTAGGTATGTAGAAACATTCCCCTCGACAACCTGTTTCCAAACACCCTAAATCATTACCTGCTCAGATTATGATATGGTATTCATTTTAAGGTAATTTATTTTAGATAATTTTTAGATATTTTTTGCTTTTTAAAAGCGCCCCAAACTGAATATTAGTAAACAAGATCTGAGTCCGTAAATATTAAATAAACTTACCGCAGTAATATTTTGAAAATTATTTTTATATCATCCTCACCTCGCGAAAGCCTTTGAAGTTTAAATCTTATTCAGAGGTAGAATTTTAAATAATTCCGATTACAATTTTGATACCTAATATCTAATGTAATCAATTCCAAGTATATTTTCTTGTAATAAAATGAAGTTATAGTTAGCTGAGGCTGTTAAATTCAAACGTGTTCTCGTATTCTGCCAAAATGTATAGTTAAATTTATATCAGTAAAGTATACTGATATAAATTTAACTTATACATATACTATTTAACAAAAAATCTAAAATCAACTAGAATCGACAAGGTTATCTCTAAGAAATCATAACGGAATCCTATAAATTGCCAAGTCCTTTTAAATTAGCCTTATGTTAGATTTAATTTCTTTAATGAACTTGATTCGAAGTAAATCGTCATGATTAAATTTAATATATGATTTTTATATAAAGGTTACCACAATTATGACACAGGTGACAGTCATATATGTACGTCATTTTTATATTGATTTGAACCGCATCACGAACGAATAGAAGCGGACGTATAAAAAGTTAGTAAACCGAAGAAATTACCATTGCCAAAGTACGGTTAAACTTAATCGGTCCAGCGAGTAAATTGGGCGTGATAGACGGACAGACAGAAGCTCGATTGATCCCATGAGGGTTAAGTTTTTTCGTTTGGAGTTACGGAAACCTAAAACTATTAGAAATCAAATGTAATGCTCAAAATATAGCTACAGTTACTGAATACAGGTTTTTTCTCTATGTCTGTTATCTGAAATGAGTGGGTTTTGCTATCGTCGAACAGATATATTCACGGTAGTAATTAATATTTCGGTGAAATAATTACTTACCTATCTGCATGTAATGATATTATGATAACACTGATACAGTAAAAAACAAGAGTGACTGTTTTATCAAATGTCAAATGATGACATTTAAGTCTTAACGTAATTCTCATAGATCAATACTGTTTACTAAAAAATGCCCTTTTACCTTTAAACTTATCCTTCAGATACGTGTAAAAATAACAAGAAAATATCAGAATGTGTGAATAAAAAGTATATTTGGAGTATAATACCCCATTTCATACGTCTACAAATGACAATTACTTTACTACCAAATTATTATTAATCCTTTTATAACTTGTCATAATAACCGTTTACATAGTGTAATAACAATCACAGCTAATATTTAATGGGCGATCATAGAAGTGTGTGGCGTGTAATAATATTATTATAGTGTCGTTGTTTTACACGAAAACTTAAGGTGAGATAGAAAAGGTGCATTACAATTTGCTTTGGGATGAAAATAAAGAAAAAAAAGAACAAGAGAAGTTGTCAGTCCATTGCCATTCATCAAAAGAGTATTGCTCTTTTAAATAAAAAGAATAACATTTGAACGTAGTACAAGAAGAATAATTCTCAATATCAAATTTTATAGCTTTCCATCATAAATTTTAAATGGTAGTAAATTGAAATCTATTTACACACTTTTCTTTTCTTAGATAACTGTCTCGGCACAGCCAAGAAGAAGGTGACAACGTTCTCAAGGTTACTACGAGGTTTGAAGTCCCATAGGAAAGAGAAGCATGGCTCCTGTTCGCCGAAGCACACGCATAGTCCAAGACAGACATTACCTCCGCAAAGAGTAAGTATTTTTTTAATATAAATGTATATAACGACTACCCAAAGCCCAAAACAAGTCACGTTTTGGCCTTTTTATCCACAATAGGATAAAAGATGATTGTTAAATGTGTATAAAGGCCAAGCGTCTAGAGCATTTATACACGTTTGGGAGGAAGACCTCTTTAAATATTTGATCTTAGAAAGGTTTATTAATATCAAACGCCTGTGTTTTTGACGTTCTTTAATTCTTACCTCACGCCATTTTAATTATTAAAGGATCGACCGTGGTTACAACTCACAGTCTGTATTACAAACAGTTTTTTTTTACTAGATGAAAAGGACGAATTATTAAATTATAAATTAAATATTTGTGAGGTTGTAAGTTAGAAATAAATATAGTGATTTGAATAAATAACAGAATCGAAATTGGTTATGCCTGTATGTGAAGTTGTGTGTGCACCAATGTTGATATGAACCCATTTGCATAATTTCATTGTTGAAAACCCTCTTTACTTAGTTTACTTCAATGCACCTAAATCAGAGTAATTTGTAATTAATTGTATACATCATTTTTTTTACTTTTCGAACCTTAGAGGTGGAATATTTTGTCAAAATTTAAATAAACCGTCTAAATCTTTTTAGCAGCCGTTCAATGTGGTGACATAGTACGGCTGCTAAAACGATCTTGAATCAGTGCCTTGGACCAAATCAATATTCAGTTTAGTGATGAGCTTTAAATGCGACCTGTCAAAAATGTCACCTATGCGGAGCGTAAGGACCAATGTTGGTAGAATAGTCTCAATTCAGCTGAATATTTTGTTGTACGTTACACGACATCGTCGCCCCATGCAGTATACGTTTGCTATATTTAAATTTTATCAAAATATTATTAATAAAGGACACCTCGGATAGATACAGTATGAAACACTAACGCGAATGCATGCATCGACTCATTCATCTGTTTTAACTTTTCGTATATACAACACAAACTACATATTAAATAAACTATATATTTGTTTATATAATAAATAACAAAAACTACATATTAAACGACATCTTCTCTCATCTCTAGCGTTGCTAAAATAAGGATCGTGATAGCTCTGGGTTCACGAACCATTACAGTTACCTTAATTAAATTCCAAACCTGATTATTTAGTTACAATTATAAGTAACTTGATAACTAATAATTGTAATGAAAGGATATATATTGGTGTGAAGTATTATAAAGATGTGAGTTATTCAACTTTTTAAAAATATGTGTAGACTTTTATAGCTTTATGCAAATGGGTTCAATGTTTGATGCACGTTACTAATGGATCTTCTTGATAACGTTGTACTTTATCAAGGATGTAGAAATTATTAGCATTAATTGGGATAAATCCCATCCTGTAGTATATTTAGACGTTGTGTGTTTGAGCTAAAGTACTGTATTTACTGTGTGACATCTTGATGTAGGAATTGTTTTGACTATAACTAGATAAATGTGTACTTAGCGGTACATATGTTTTCATAGATCAGCAATCTTGAATGATTTAGCAACTGCCACTTATTCTTAAGAGCTCGTACAAATGTAATATACCTGTCTGTAAAGTATTTACAGGACAAGTGTAAGCAATATAGTGTTATAACAGGGCGAAAAATATGTCTCTTAAGTAACCTTCCGAAGTCACAAATGATGCAAATTTATGCGACTTCCCCTCTCCAAAAGTTTAAACTATAGCTATTATTCGCAAACCGTTCCATATATGCTTGTTGTGGAGAACTTTTTATGGCATAAACAACCAAGACACTTATATAACCAAGTAAAAAATTTCTGTCACGTCGAAGTATACTACCCTAAATTTTTAAATATCCGTTTTAAGGTTGTCTGGAAGGGAACGCCGTGAGCGATAAAACCGCCGATTGTTACGTCAAAATATTTGTAACTAACTTTTGTAGTGTTTTAAATATAGTCAATAAAGATATAAAGAAAAAATAAATAAATAAAAATGTTCTTCAAAGAAATATTTTAAATTTCAGTTTGAAGTCAGATCAGACTCCATTGTGTAAATATTAGTTTAACGTGTTAACTTTTCTATAATACGTTGTGTTGCTTCTTTTACTAAAAGAAAAATAAAAAGATTTTTGTGTCGATAATTTATTCATCCAAAACACACGAATCTTTTATAAATACATCGTTAATAAGGTTAAATAGTAAGACAGTTTTATTTAATGTATCTATAATAGGAATATTCGCTTTTAGGACCTTATGTATGCACATCTCGATTCTCTTAAGTTTATAGGTGTCGTGTGGGTGGTCAGGCTAGCCATGGAGATATGCCATGAACTAAGCCGTCTATAACCGTGACAGCTAATAATAGAGATACACAAGAAAAAGTGACCTTATGTTAGCAAAACACTATTTCATTGAAATAGTGTTTTGCACGCAAGCACGCAAGCACTTGAACTGCTTTTACATAATATATACGTATATAACAATAAATTAAATATTGAAGATACATTTGAACATGAAATTTCGCATAAACCAGGTTGTCAAGGATATAATAAAGGACATAGGTGTTTTATAGAGAATGAACTAAAACACTAGAAGTAGATGTAATTATTCAATTCACCAAACAGCTGTTGTTTTCCAAAAGCCATTTATTTACGAATATTTTGAATTCCCTAAAAATAGATGAACAAATAAGTTGTTTTGTTCATAATTCATATTGTCTATAAATACATCTTAACTGAAAGTTTTCAAACCACAAAACTGTAACCGATACTTTAGTTTAGCAAGTTTCCCAAGCCGTTTGATTTGAATTGAACAATAAGATTGAAAACAATTGAGTCTCCGTTAAACTTCGTACATACACACACCATAGGGTGCATACCCCTATCGTCGTCTCACGATTTCTCGTTAGTTACAACAACAGTTTGTAACCGAATCTTAGTTGTAGCACACGCTCACGGCGCGCGGCGTCTCTCTCTCTTTTTTCATACATTCCCTTTTTCTACCCCCCATTATGTAGATGCGGCGCGACGCCGGTGCGCCTTTGACATGCACTCTGAGCAATTAGTATGACGCGCCGTATTTAGGAACAAACCTACAATACGTGCAACGTTTAATATTTTCGGAATGTTTGAGCTCTCACATTGTTTTGGCATATGTATGTTCTTTGTCTGGCTGTGAAGACTGCAGTGTTATGAGATTTAAATTTTAGATTTCCAATAGTACCAGAAGTTAGTAAGGTAAAGTTGATCTATAGTCAGACTATAATAGAAAGTGATGTTATCAAGACCAATCCACTTAAGTAGTACTTATACCCTCGTTAGTCCTTATGGTTGTTACCATTTCAACAGCAATCAAATTAAATACATTACTTCAAAACACAAACAAATATGTGGAAATGGCTTCTTTATGTCTTATTGTTGCCTCAAATAAACAATAAATGTGTAGCTACTTTATCTTGTTGAAAGATATTAGTCAACAATGACTTATCACGCCAGAAAACATTTGTAATCGAACTCATACAAAAGAAATTACTACCCCTTTCGAGGAAAACAAGAAAAATATGAATTCTGCCACTCGAACATGAGAAACACGCATCAAATACGCAACTCATCACCCAAATTAAGTGGTACATTTTTCCACGTCCATCTATATATTTATTAATCCTAGACTGGGAAGGGGTGGTACGTCTCCGCATGCCTTTTGAGAAATGACGCCTGCCAAAGTTAAGTCGGTTGAGCCAACGCAAGACGGTGAGTTATGACCGTTTGTTGAGCTAACGGATAAAGACCATTAGAGCCCGGGTATAATCCTTATCGGCCAACTTGCACTTAGGATTAGTCTTGTCAAAAGTTGCCTTTTTTCGGTTTATTGACCGAGCCGTGTCCAGCTTTGATTAGGGGATCAGAACTGGATGAGTATTATTTGTAATGCCACGTAATCCTTAACTCGAAAGTTACATTAAGGTTATCATGATTAGGAACGCACGATGATGAATGAGCGTGTATTATTATTTTATTACTTGTGTAATTTATGTGGCTAATGAACTATTTGACATTCAATGTTTTATCTGAATCTTTAATGTTATTACGTATTTAAAAAGAAAAGGTATGTTTTTATGGTATTATTTAGGTGAAGTATATTAAAAGCTTTCAGATAAATAACTTTTTATCTGTGTATTGTTCAATGTGTTTATAAAATATATTGTGGTATGTTAAAGTGATCATAATACGTTATATTTATGCTGAAGAGGCTTATATATGCGGCTAACATTTTTGTAAGGTCGGTGTGCTTAGAGAGTAATTACGGTTTTGAGAAAGACACAATTATAAAGAAAACTTTTCAAAATGTGCTTCTAGTAAAAATCATAAATATAGTTATTTTGGAATTGGCAACGAATGGAAACTATTAAATGAAAAGGCCTGATTAAGATAATGCTTTATCAGTGTCAATTATATTTTATGTTTTTCTGAAAGTTTTCGCACAACCACGACAGATAATGACATAATATAACCTATTTTCTGATACAGTGATGACTTTTGCGTAATTTTGATGACCAAATATTTGGATAATTCTTTTTTACATTATGTAATTGTCAGGTAAAATATTTAGAATTGAGTGGTTCTTGTATGAGCATGTAATGGATGCTTATGTATTTCCCTACAACAGTACTCATTACAAGAGTTAAAGTAATGATCAAATGTTATACATCATCATCATCAACAGCCTTTAGTGGTCAATTACTTGACATACACTTTCCTTACAAAGGAGATTTTGGTCCAGTAAACCATGCTGGCTGGGCTGGCCCTTTGAGTGCCTCCCCCAGAAACAGGGAAAGGAGGTTTGGGCTCCGGTAACCTCATTCACTGGGTGAAAAGCAGTGATGAAACTGCTTAACAACGGTTTTCTGTCAGGCCGTGGTGTCCACTCTAATCGAGCCGGCCTATTTATACATAGGCATGACTCTTCATTAAAATTTAAAATAATATTTAAAAATAAATAGGTCCCATCGCCGCTTTATGTTAAAGTAC